CAAAAGACACCCTGAGAGGCTGAGAGGCACTTTGAGAGGCTGTCACACAGAAACGAGAGAGTGAAACAAACTGAGAGCCATGGAGAACTAGCCATAAGATGTAAAGAGACCATGAGAGCCAATGAGCCAATGAAACCATGACAGATTCATGAAAACCATGGAGAAATGAACAGTCAGGGTGTCAGAGTTCATGTTCGCCACTCGGCGTCAAAGATTCTTATGTGAAGAGGGTCAACCAAATAGATGGCAGCAGTTTCACCGGCCTATCTCTGTTTGCGTTTGTTCAGTCATGAGAGGACTTCACGCCGCGGCGGCCATCAGCAAAGATTACAACAACAGGCTGCCGAGAAGGAGGCGCCAGCAAGCTGCGAGAGCTCTGCTCTGTGTTTGCTGCTGTTGAACTTGTTTGCGTGGGGGTTCTTTTCGCCACAAAGAGTTCAGCAGATCGCTGAAATGGCTGTGAAGGACATCGAACGATCCAAGGAAGACCCACAAGTTTTGAAAGACCTCTACACCCTGTCCAATCTGGGGACCAAAGGAAAACACGCGAACAACATCCACGCCGAGCTCATGAGCAAAGTTGAGCATGTTCCAAAAATCCCCAAGCCTTTCAAAGCAAAAGTGCCACTGAAAGGGTTTCCTGACTCAGTTCAATCGATGCTGTTGCCACATGAAATGTTTGCTTGTCTATACCGCAACTACAAGAAGGTCTGGTCCACTGCAGTTGTGCCAAGCGTTGAGCGGGTGCAAAAGTTTTGGAGAGCCATGCGGCTTCATCCCCAGATGCGTGATCACCCCATGACTTCCTCCCCTCAATGGGAGAGTTGGACTGTGCCTATTGCCGTGCACGGTGACGGAGTTCCAGTCACTGGTGTGGGGAAAGTGTGGAGTCGAGTGATGACCAATTACTCATGGTATTCCCTTCTGGGATATGGTACCACTCCATCAATGCTCATGTGGGTGTGGGGGTTCTTTGACAAGCTGAAGGTGGGCGACCAAGCATCAGGCACACTGCTGGAGTTCTACTCCATATTGAGATGGAGCTTTTTGGCGTTATCGGAAGGCAGGTGGCCTTCGAGGAATCACAGAGGAGAGAAGCAACTTGAAGTTTTGCAGACATGTCTTGCTGTTAAATGTACATGCAACAAACCAGCAGGAATATGAATACATATGCAATTGAGAGAGGTCATCCATTTATAAAAGAATATAACATGGAACGTGAGAACCTGGAACATGAGAACCTGGAACATGATAACCATGAACATTGAAGCTGAACTGTTTTACCCTAGTTCCTCTCATGGTGTCACCTCTCAGGGGTACAAAAAGTTCCTCTCATGGTGTAACCTCTTCAGCGTTTCAGGTGTGGTCTGAAAAATTTCGGCTGTGTAAGGTACAAAGAAGGCTCTGTGGAAGCCTTGAGAGCCGGGTCTTGGCTGGCTGGTGGCTGGAAGGGTGTCCTATGGGCACTCACAGGAGACCTTGACTACTTCAACGCCATGCTTGGCACCCCCAACTATTCCGCAGTGGGTGGCCCATGTATGCATTGCAAATGCACTGGGACTGGCGCTGCAACATGGACAGATTTTCGACCACAGGCTATGTGGAGGAACACCCGCTGGGAGGCCGACGTTTGGAGAAATTGGGACGAACGTTCGAAGTGCATTTTGCTGACTCTTCCTGGGGCGAGGTGCTGGTCAATAGCCTACGACTGGGTTCACGTAAAGTACTTGGGCGTAGATCAGTACATCTTTGGCTCAGTGATGGCCCTCTTGGTTTCTATGGTCATGCCAAATGACGCGAACCAGAACTTGCAGAACTGCTGGGATTTTTTGAAAACCTTTTTCAAAAAACCACGCCACGCCCACACCATTCAGATATTTGTCGAAATTGTCAATGTTCATCCGCACAGGAAAGTACCCCAAATTGAGGGGGAAGGCCTCAGAGATAAGGCACTTCGGCCCAGCTTTGTTGGCCCTATGGTCTCGCCATCAGAACCCTCACCTCGTGCTGCACCAGCGCATCACCTTCATGCTGAAACAAAATGTACACCTGGAGGAAATGATTACTTTCCACAAGGACGACTTCGCCCTACCACCTGGACCAGCGCAAGAGTTTGAAGAAACCGCCAACAGCATGCTCTTACTTCTTTCCCAGGTAGCTGATCACTTCGTTGAGGAAGGCATGAAATGCTTCGATATCACAAGCAAATGCCACATGCTTCAAGAGCTTGCTATTTTGAGTCGCTCCATAAACCCCAAAGTCACATGGTGCTTCATGGGTGAGGATCAAATGCAGCGCATGCAGCAGGTCGCTAAAGCGTGCGTTCGTGGCAACAAGCTTGATAAACAAACCACAAAGCTGGCCCGCCACTACCGCTTAGGGTTGCACCTGCACTATCTCGACTTGGCTGCGTAAAAAGAATTGTGAGCTTGTGCGCACTTTGCTGGGACACGTGAGCTGCAGGTTTTACTTCTCTGAGTATATATATGTGGTTTGTTCATGCGTCGAGTTTGCTTCACGTAGAGCTGTGAGAGGCATCCGTGAGACACCTTCAGAGACATCCATATGATAGACACATCTAACCTGTCTTAAATATGTCTGCATCCATGAGGTCTGACACTATATACCCTGAAAGTCTCTCACAGTCTTTCATTTACCACATATCACAGTCTTTCATTTACCACCCACCACAGTCTTTGTTTCTGATTTTTGCCAAGGTCTCTCACTCTCAAAGTCTCTCATCGATTTCCCCCACAGATTTTGCCAAGGTCTCTCACTCTCAAAGTCTCTCATGGATTCCCCCCGCAGTTCTCTCATGGCAGACTTGTTGCGAACACTTCAACAAATCGACTTTGAGAAAAAATCATGTTGGTCTCTTACTACTGAAAGACCTGTCGTAGTTTTGAAAGAACCCTTTAAACAAGACTTGTTGAAAGAATATCACTTTTACTGGCTTTATTCTTATGAGCAGGTTTTTGGAGACACATATCCATGAGATACCTTGTGAGAGACTTGAAAGCAAGCATGAAAGATGAAGTCTTCAGCCCCTGAAAAGATCTATGAATAAATACCTTGATTCAGAGAGTTTTTGTTGGCTATGAACAAGACCGACCGGGAATTGCTGAAATCTGCTCTTTAGAAGCCGACCCCATTGCCAGAGATGGCAAGTCTCCATTGAGAGATTTCAAAGCAAGCATGAAAGATGAAGTCTCGAGCCCCTGCAAAGACTCCACCTCTGGTGAACAACTGTTCATGAGAGAGTGGTGCCATGAGAGACCATGACAGAGGTGCCATCAGAGGTTTGCGCACTGTGGGTATTCACTCATGGCCATGTTTTGGATGTGTACCAATTGTATTTCCGTCGGTTTGTATACAGTAAGAAACGTGTATATAAACACAAAAAAGCTTAAAAAATAAGGGTCGTACTTTGGTAGTAGTTTGGTAGTAGTTTACCACCAGAAAAATCTAACTAATAGTCAGAAATCTAACTATTAGACAAATTTTGTTTTTAACTATTAGTTAGATTTTTTCGATCGAAAACTGATCACAAAAATCTAGCTAATAGTTAAATTCGCAAAAACGATAAACTAACTATTTAGACAATTTTGCTTCCAAAAAAGTTAACTATTTCAAGCCAAAAATCGATCTATTTTCCACACCCCAAACATAGATCTATTTTTAAGAAATCAATTGATTTCCAAGAAATAGACAATAGTCCAAAAACAAGCTGACTCAATCTATTGGGTTCTAGCTCCCCGAACACCTGACCCCGCCACAGCTTTCCCCAATCTAATTCTGGTCCAAAACGAGCCTCCTCTGGTTGCACTTTCGCTGCCAAACGCCGCCTCTGAATCCCT